TTGCGAAGTGACGTCTAAAGGACGTCCATAAATGGGTGGGACTAAGCTTGTGACATCACAATGTATTCTCGCATTTACACTACGTGTACTTTCTATTTTCTAACGAAAATAACAAAAATCACTTGCTTATTATTGTAAATTAACATTAAATTCTTTATTTTAAATTTACATTTCTAACAGCTAAGCTTGGGTCTTACTGAAAATAAGTATAACATTATATATATTTAATATTAACATGATATAGTAATCCAGTTCTGTCAATATTTAAAACAGTAAACGACGTCGCAGTCTCTTATACTTGTATATCATAGAGCTTTAGTATTTTCAAAGATTTTTAGTCTTTAGCATTTATACAAATAAAACGTTTTTTTAAAAAATTAAATTTATATTATGCAACACTTTAATTTTATCATTTTTATAAATCCCTTTATTGCTACACAACGATACAACTGCCGATATGTATAGCAAGTCGGAAAACAATATTAACGTATAAAAGAAAACAATGAAAAATAGAATTTAAATACATAAACAGACGATTAAAATATAATTTACTATTAAAACAACAATACAAATTTAAAATACACAAGCAATATATTAAACATTGCATATAAAATTCGTTACATTACTGCTCAGTATCACATACAGCCTCACTTTGCTCATGTGCACAGCGATCTGTTTTCATTTGGAAAACATCAGGAAATTGCACGAACTCGGCATCACGCACAGCCCAAGGATTGGCCATGCACACACGTTTTGAAGTTTTTCACTTCAAAAATATCAGAGAATTGCACACCTGACATTGTGCACAACCTCGGCATTGTGCGCAGCCTAGGCATTATCCACGTACACAATGATCGGTTTTTCACTTAAAAAAATCAAAGAATTGCACAAACTCGTCACATCGCGCGCAACCTTGGCTTTGCCCAAAAACACAGCGATCTCTTTTAATTAAAAAATCAGACAGTTGCACAAACTCTGCATTGCCCATATACTCAGCGATCTGTTTTTCACTTAAAAAAATCAGAGAATTGCAGAAACTCGACATTGCTCACAGTTAACTCCATTGATTCGAGTGAAAAAATTCAGCAAAATGAAACAGCAATGAAAATAAAGCTACCAGAATAAAGCAAATTACATATCACTGAAATCGCCAAATTAGGCGTGCGACCGATATTTCACTTAAGCCAATAATAACAAATAAAACTTACCTTCAGTCCTTCCCTTTTTCAGAATATACTGCTGACATCTCACTCAGAAATATCTCCATTAACTTGCACGTGTAGGATTTCTTCTGCTGACATTTTCACATGTACTCAGCCAGATACGAATTGAAGTTTCCTTTTGCCTGCCAAGAACTGCAGAGCCTTCTTTTAACTACTTCCCAAGTCCCCTCAATACTGTTAATATGCGCACATTTTTCCGTATCTTTAAAACACAAGCTGTGATTCACTTTTAAGTGCACATATCCTTCAGGCTCGAGACAGTTATAGGTTTTTCATCAATCCGAAATAACAATTGATCCTGCTGAAAAAAATGCTTTTCTGTAAATCATTAGAAAGCACCACTACCTCCAAAGATATATATATATATATAATAAGCTAAAAAATTACTTAGATGTCAATAATATACCAATGAAAAATATAACATCTTGTGCTCAGATAGTGCTTCTAATATGATGGGGAATAAAAGCGATTGCTTATAATTGATGAAAGATGAAAATCCAAAAATGTTTCTTGCGCTATTCGCAGCTAAATGCTTGTGTTATTCGCAGGGAAAATCTGGAAGCTAAAAATATTTCGCCTGTCCTAAAGAAGTATTAAATTTAGTTTTGCAATCAATACTATTAAAGATATTAAAGTTGAACGTCTCTTCAAGATATTTTGTGAAGAACAAAATGAAGACAATGTGAGAGTTATACTTCAAGCTGGAATAACATGGCTCTCGAAAGGGAACTGCTTAAAAGGACTTATGGAATTATTTGATACCTTTTAGTCATTTTTTAATCGACAAATGAATCGGGGTATTACGAATTTAACGAATTAACGGTCAATGGTAAAGCCTTTGTGAGTTATTTAGCCGATATCTTTGAAAAACTAAATATATTAACTAAACAACTTCAATGAACAAATAAAACTCTTATCGATGCAGAAGCGAAGATATTTGGTTTCATTATTAACCCAAATGGAAAAATTGTCCAGAAGAGCTATTAGTTTCGTTTCAGTATTTTACGTCGGGTCACTTTTCAAACTGTTGCCACCAAATATTAGAGCATTGCATTATATACTCTTTTGCAAAAAAAAAAAAAAAAAAAAAAAAAAATCGAAGCACCAAAAAGGACTTTTACGATCGTGACGAAATTTGGCATGCAAAAACATCTTAATCGAAATGCAAATGATCAAAGTTTCAAGGCAAATGAACAGGAATTGCGTTCATAACGCGCATCTGTAGTGCGCAGACTGGCATTCGTATAGTGTTCAGCGATGAATCCCGCTTCACTCTTGAAGTAGATGGTCACCGTGTTCGTGTCTGGAGAGGACGGAGCTAGCGGTCCCAATCAGCCTTTCTTTTGCAAAAGCATACAGCCATAACCTTTGGTGTGATGGTGTGGGGCACTATTTCTTATGACACCAGGTAATCTTTAGTCATCCTCCGTACATCTTTAACAGCTCAACGATATGTTGATACCATCCTGCGGCCGGTTGCATTACCCTTCATGGCACGTCATCCTGGGCCATTTTCCAACAAGATAATGCCAGGTCAAATACCGCTGGCATATCTCTGGACTGTCTCCATGCGGTTGATACTCTTCCCTGGCCAGCAAGGTCATCAGACCTTTCACCCATCGATCATGTCTGAGACATGGTAGGCCGGCAGATTCAGGCACCACAAAATATCGCAGATCTGGAGCAACAACTGATGGATGCATGCCCGGCAGAATGTGTCGCAGGATGAAATTAGAAACCTCTACCACTCCTTGCCTCGACGAATTCAAACATGCATTGCCGCCAGGAGCGGTCCGACCAGCTACTAATTTGAACACTCAATGGGTGATTGTGAGCCGTGAACAGGTACTATGACATTGATTTTTTTCAACATTTTATTATCTGTGTATGAGCTATACACATATTCAATTTCATCAAAAACAACCACTTTCTTCACGGTGCTTCGATTTTTTTGCAAAAGAGTGTATTTAAAAAAATTAAATAATGAAGAATCTTCATAAATGTAGAGATGTTTCTCGCACTGTGAAAAAGACATGAGCCTTAGAGACATCAAATTTTGAGTAACGTAGTCCTCCATTCGAATATGGGCATCTGAAAGCCCAAATTTGGAATTTGTTTTATTATATATTCCATATTTTGTCAGACTTTAAAATTTTTTTGATTAACAAACTCAACGATTTCAAAGCAAGCAATAGCAACACTGTACCCCCCAAAAAATAATTTTTATATGCAGTACGTGAGACTGTGTATCGAAAATTCTAAAAATATGCTCTTTTAAACATTTTGTGATATTGCTGTTAAATTTAATTTTATGGTTTTATTGCGAAGAACATGATATTTAATAAGGTAACACACAAAACGTTAAAAGAACTCATTCAGATGTTTATTTTTCTTTACTGAATTAAGTCAAACATATATTTACAATAAAAGTTTCATTGGCTCCAAAAATGCGAAGTGAAGGATACCGCTATGTTAAGTGTTATTGTCGATCATCTGAAAATTTTATCAGCTGATTTAAAAGAAAAATTTTCTGGTTTGAAAGAAATTTATTTCCCAATTTGGATGGTGCAGCCAAGATTAGCGGAGTTTTCTGATATTTCAGATATGCAGTATCAAGAACTCGAAAAAATGCAAAATGATAAATCAATTAAAAATGTATTTAATATAAAAGGAGCAATGTATGGTTTTGTGAGGAAACCGAAATCAAATACACAAATGCAACCAAATGTGCAAGAGAACTATTGTTACCGTTTTCATCTCCATATTTAGCTGAATGCGGATTTAGTGCTATAAATGATTTATTGCTAAAGAAAAGAAATCCGCTGGATATAACAAACAGGGAAGACTTGAGATTGAAGTTAACTAAATTGGAACCTGACATAAAATCTTATTGCAACAAACATCAAACGCAAGGATCTCACTAAATTTAAATAATAAATAATCATTATTAATGAAAATAATGCAGAAAAATCTTTCATTAAAATTATTATGTACTTGGATTTTAGTTCTATGATGTTTTGAAAATTTACTTACCGTTTTGCTCAATAATTTCCTGGTGATTTCTTCCTAAAACTTAGCATTTTTAATAACACTTTTCTTTTGCACTGCGTAAATATTTATTGATCATTGCTTGTAAGCAACCCCAATTGTTTTTTGGTTCATTCTCTTATTCTGGAAAGAAGAAATGTAAGCTTCTTCCGTACTGAAATCTTTTGTTTGACTTCTTGGGTGCTAAAAAACCCCCTTCTTACATAATTTAATTAGATTAAAGAAATTATTTCTTCCTGTATGGGAAACAGAATTCGAAGCCCCCTGCAACTGCAGAAGCTTTGACCTGCATTTTTTTTGAATTATTCAAACTGAGTTTTGTATGCAATATTAATAACTAATCCTGAATACATAGTGTGTATAAACCTACTTTCAAGTACATCAGGTTGACTTAATTTACTTAAGAATTTTTTTCGGAAAGAAGGCAGTATTTTTATGATACCTATTTAAAAATGTACATCAACTCTAGCGGCGTCAAAACAATTTTTACAAACGTTATCTTTAACACTGTAGTAGACTAGACGCACGGCCGAATTTATGTCACGAAACTACCCAAATCACGACCTATATATAAAACGAAAAAAATCTCAATACATTCATAACTAGTAGAAAAGAGCCCCCCTCTTCTCAAGACATTAACTAGTTCTGAGGTCAGTCGTACCACAAAGAACAGGTATTTCTTTACTTCCTGATCACTGGAGAAACGACCTCGATCTGATGACGATCTGTCCCTATTAAAACAAAGCTTCTTGTGATCTTGAACTTGAATAATCTGCTCGGTCAGACGCACAAGAGTTTGTTTTAGGATGAAATTAAGGGACGCTGTGGCTTTGGCTTTGGGATGCTGCTTATGCCTGGTGCTAAGAGTGGACAGCCATGGAAGAATGGTTGAACCCCCAGCAAGAAACACCATGTGGAGAATGGATTTTAATACTCCGGAGAATTATGATGATACAGAACTCTTCTGTGGTGGACTAAAGGTCAGGGTTGCTTTATTGTGAAATTTAAAAGTAAAATTAACCCTTTTTTTGAATTTGTTTTTAAAGTTTTAGATCTAATTTTATGAAAAACTAATGAATCGGCAACTATTTATTAAAAAACTGAGTTTCTTGATTCCACTTCTGGTATAACATGATTACATGATTATGTTTCGCTTTGGTATAATATAATAACCCGGCAGATAATCTTAATTCTTATGTAGCGAAACAGAAGTTTTCAAAGCGTAGGCTATAAATTTAAAAGGAAAGATTATTGAGGTTTAGATAATTTTTTAATTAGAGGTAACTTATGAGATTTTGAATAAAAATTTTGCTTGTATATTAATAAATGCAACCTAAAAATTTCATAGTGATGATATGCAGTATATGATATATATATTTTAACAACTGTATTTAAAGTTGCTTTCAACTAACAGTTTTAAATAAGTTCTCCGTTTTTCATTGCTTTAAACAATTTATATAATTATCTTATGATCCAGAAACTAAGCAACGAAATACTTCGAAATATTTATGCATTATTATTGTAATTTTTACTATATATATATATATTAAAATATTTTGCATTTGTTTATTAAATTATTAAATTTTTCGAAAAATATTAAAGTTTCGAAACCTAATAAAATGCATAAGAGTGCGCTACCTATTAAATAAAATATGGAAGTAGAAATATTCCAATTGCAATCGCTTAAATTGAATTTTTTTTTTTTTTTTTTTTTTTTTTTAGATCTAACTAAATAAATGAACTCTAAAAGAAGATTTTGATCAAATTCTAATAGTCGAAACTAATAAGATATAACAAACTTCAAGTTCATTTCTTAAAATTTAAGAAAACAAATTAACATTATGTAAAAAATAAAAACATATTTTAGCTATAATTTCATAACTTTAAATCGAAATGAAGCTGCGCAAAATAAAGCATGAAAACTGCAGAACAGTTAAAATTATTAGATTAGTTTTAATCATTATGTTTTAGAATTGTTTCATTCAATGAAGAAAATTGAGTTTTTAATCATCTTTACACTGCAGCAAATTGTAGTAAATCTAAATATAATAAATTAAAACAATTTCTTTGATGAAAAACTGTGTACTAAAGTTAAGTATTGTTTTAAAATCCAAAGCTCAGTCAAAATTTCTTTTCAGTCAAAATTTTACTCCAGTTCTTGAACTTACTTCAAAAAATTAATTTCTTCTAGCTTTTTATGTATGATAAATATTTATTTGCGTTTATTGATTTATATAAAATTAAATTATATAACTTCTTTAAATTACAGCAGTTTTGTTGCTAGGCAGCGTATTTAAGACAGTCTAAAGCACTGCTTTAAACATAAATTTAAATTTATCACTATTTTTTATGTTCCAACTAACAAAATTTTTAGTTTCATGCAAGTTCTTAATCACGTTTGCATTGATTTAATCATCCAAATACAGTGATTATAAAAAATAGCAATTAATAACAATTTTTGAAATTAAAATTGGTATGTCTAAAATTTCAAGATATTTAAAGATCGTGCTCCTTAACTATTAGGAATTTATACTGTAAGAAAATTAAAATAATAATATAACAATTCGTTTTACTCTATGAGATATGGCATAAATAATATCGTTCATTAATCTTTCATTATTTTAATGCACCAAACCTACGGTTTTCAACGCCCCGACAACTGAAGATTTTGCTCCATCTTCTGTGTGCTAAGAATGGAAAACATTTCATTTTAAAATTTCGTAACGATCAGTTTGGCGTCCCTCGGATGTTACGTTCGGGGACAGATGTCCCCATTTGCCCCGCACTCTAGCTTTGCCAGTGTAATGCACCAAGTACATACGAAATAATCAAATACTGTATAAGGAGCTGAACATTGTTCAACTCCTATTACAAACTGGCTAAACAATTCTACTAGAAATCCCGCTCGTTTGATAACGAATGCATTAACGCACATGATTATGACATAATTGACGTAAAAATATTAAACGCTTAAGGCCATTTCTGAATGCAAATATGGGTAGCATTCTCTGCTTGCCTTCTACTAACGATTACTGTATTATGTAGGTATTTTTTCCTTCTGAATTACTTTAGGACTTTTAAAAAGTCTTCCATCAAAGAATTCTAATGAATTGACAAAATTTGCAATAAGAGTTCTCATTCGACAGAGATAGTGTCTCGTGCACATGCACCCTGATATTCGCAAAATTTCACTATTTTTTAACAGGTTTCTGGATAAAGCTGAATATCTACACGGATTTTTTTTTTTTTTTTAATTACATTGAAGGTTTAAATGAGGAAACGCAAACCCTTTAAAAAAAGGCTTATATCGGCGTTGTTTTATTAGATTTTTTTTTAATATTCATGTAAGTTAGCGTCTCTAAATTATTTATTCTAGTGAACTATTAATATTTTAATATTTTAAAGCGAACTTATTACTAGTGCTGCCATCTATTGAAAAATAAATAAATTATTATTGATCAATAAGCAGTTTGCGTACATCATTATCCACGTACACCAGTTGCGTAGCAACATATATCGAAGACTACTTACATACTTTTATGTCAGCTGGTACATAACAAAGAATATTTTGCTCTTGCCAGAAACCTCAAAAAATACTATTTACGGTCTGAAAGAATCCTAAAAATTGGTATCTCAGGAGAGAAGAAATTTATTAAAAACTAAATATAAAAATATATTTTTAAAAGACCAAAAAGCCTCTCATAAAATAGTCTTACATCTTCTTGTTTAGAATTAGAATTAGCGTAGGTAAGAACAGTTAAAAATTAATGAACATATACAAGTCTTCGCTCTTTCAAAATTAATATTTTTCTTGTTTTATTCTTTTTTGGAACAAATGCAATGCATATATTTACATTCCTGAAGTACGCCTGACTTCCTTTTCAAGTAATTGATTATTTACTTCAAAATTCTTTCATTTAGTTTGAAATTAACGATAACTTTAGATTTCTTCTAATAAATAGTAAATGACTTTTATACTAAATTTTATCCTACTAAATTTTATAACTTATTTTTAAGTTAAATAATTAATAAAATGAGAAATGTAACTTATTTAAATAAACCACTAATTCTAAAATTTGTTTTACATTATACTCTGAAATTTCTAGCATATTTTACTGTACTGAAGACTCATAAAATAAAGACACCAGTTTAAGGAAATTAATCGGCTCTTTTACACAGGCTTTCAAGATTTTTTAAATGAATTTACGATTGCCTTACTGAAAATATTTTTGTATTTACATTTGCAAGTAAAGCATGCTGTGCACCCAGCAGATAGAATGGGCATACTTCTATTTCATAAATTCCATTAAAGATTGCGTTGGCATAAAAGTAATAGTACAATATCTTTAACTGAAGTTATATCGTTTATTGCAGAAAATACTCCACTTAGGTTTTAGCATCATAAATTGAACAGAAAATAAGTGGGATAAGTAAAGTCATAAATTATGGAAAACAATGCCATTTAATGTCCAAAATAAGTACTGTAGAAACACTCAATAGTATAATTTGTGTCCAGCCATGAGAAGCAAAATCCTCATTGCCATACTGCTAAAACTCTAAGACTATCCAGCATCAGTGATAAATAAAAATGTGTGCATCTGAATAATTCAATAATTCAATAATGCAACTAGATCTGAGAAATTATCAGATATTGCTTAATATACTAAGGGTGTAATTACTTTCGGCCATTTAATCATTGTTTTATTATTTTTTAATAATTAAAATATTTCTGTTTATTTTGTTCTTGATTCTTTGCTTTGATTATCAAGACTCAGAAATTTAATATTATGTAAGTAAGAAAAATATGTTTAAAAACTTTTGGCCTTGTCCTATATGTTTATACAATGATTCGATAATCAAAATTTAAGTCTCGTTGACCTATTATACATGCAATTACCAAACTACGTTAAACTACTGAAATTAGAATTTAAATTCCAGTAATTCTGCTTCTCACACTTGATAAAGAATTATCTCGGGAGAAAAACCGTTGATAAAATACCTGAAAGAAAAATTATTCTATTTGTATTAAGATCTCAGTTGTTTAATATGTTCTTTGAATTTTCAGGTTACTCATGAAATTAATGGCGGTAAATGTGGTGTCTGTGGTGACAGATACGATTCACCCGTTCCTAGACCTCATGAAAGTGGGGGCAATTTCACGTCCGGCGTCATCTCCCGGACCTACCAACCCGGACGAGTGCTGGAAGTTGTCATCGAGTTGGTTGCCAATCACAAAGGATATTTTGAGTTCTCCCTCTGCGAAAGGAACGACCCTTTAGAGAAAGAAACAGAGGAGTGTTTTGACAAGAGAATTCTGGAACTTGCTGACGGAACAGGGAAGCAATTCCACATTCCTAAAGATGATAACGGTTTTTATGTGGTACCAGTCAAGATTCCGAAAGATGTCAGCTGTTCGAATTGTGTTTTCAGATGGCACTGGAGATCTGGTATGTTTCCATCATTTCTGTAACCCTGTACTATATTTTATAGGTACTAACTGCATTCTGTGTAATGCAGAGAAGAACTTGATTTATAATCTTCATTTATAATATAATTTTGAATTATCTATAATATAATTCTTGATTTATAATGTAATTCTAATAATTAAACAAAATTATGAAAGATTATAAATGAAAGGAACATGAAGAGAATTTTTGATTTTATAAAGTTAGTTGCTGAAATGATTAAGGAAAAGCGCAGTAGATCTATTTGGCTAAGGAAGAGACGCCTGTATGGAAAGCTTTCCAACGGAAACTAGCTTCAAATCACGAAATACACATCAAATCACGAAATTTCTACGCAGTCAGCTAAGGTACTAGCTTTTAGCGGTCTTATCCATTCGACCACTGATCAGCTTCGCTGTTACTATGAACCATGGCAACAGCGAAACGAGAGGAAGCAAAAGTAGTATCTATTAATATTTACTTTGCGCAAAAATTGTAAGAAAAGTTCAGCGTTATTTTGAAATATCATCTAGTTAAGAAGAGATGAAACATGTTTAAAATATCTGTAAAAGATAAAAAATGTTATTAGAGGAAATTATACAAGTCTAGATTTTGAGACACGGTATCATATTCGAAATCTCTCTGACAGTCATTACGGAGTAGGCATAAAACTTATAGATATTAGTGACACTTCTGTCTTGATGAATGCAAATGAATATAGGACACTAGCTGACGGTTTTTTTTAACATTTTACCATATCTCATACCACCCAGTGTCTCGTGTCTTTTATCTGCCCCAACCACCGACAGCTCTACGTAGCACGTCACGGCTGTCACCACTTCTGAGACTTCCTATATGCTCAACATTTCCCCACTCTTTAAAGGTTAAATTTGCAGTATAATATATTTCTGCTTGAAAATATACCATGTATTATATTCTTCCTTGTGTTAATTTCTCAGTGTTAGTTTAGGTTTTATATGTTTCTTTCGTTATTTTATCACATATGGTTTTGGAGCATGTTTCACTATGAGTAATGTTTTGGTGAAAAAGTTTTCTCGTACGAAATTTTATGAGAGTTTAAAACTCATAACGAAAGAATAATTCATATGCTTCCAGAATATCGTAAAAAGTGATCCTGTGATGTTAAGGTTTTGTTGCTTCTTTACTATACACAAACCAACATAAACGAAACGATATCCATTTGCAGTTTATCTTTATATTCATGCTTACAGACCCTACAAAATTCTCGAACATGGTCACGGATAAGATCAAATGAGAAACTGTCATTGGCCAAGTACGTTGCGTACCTGTGTTGACAGATTAACTGTGATAAACTGGAATCCAAATCCATCCCATTTTTTATTGAAAACACGTCAACGTACGGAAAGTTTCAGTCTTTTTCATCTACTATAAATTTCTAGAAAGTACAGGAGGAATTCAGAACACACTGTTAAGAATTTACAGAAATGTAGCCTACAATGATTGTGACAAAGCAAAAAGTGGAAAATTGAAAGTAATCCGCGAAACCCACCTGAAAGCTAGTTTTTTAAAGAAACAGAATAAACATATCAAGCGGGAAAAAAAAGATATTATCTAGAAAATCTGACTGCAAGGTAAGTTCTGAAAAAAAAAAAAAAAAAACGCGTATGTTACTAACTGAAGGACAAAATATTGAGAAATGGCGTGCGATTTAAGCTTTTGTTATCAATGCTACAGGTCTTAGAGAGCTAAAAGAAAATAGAAGGATGGGAAATTCCAACTGGCACACAAAATTACTCTCAGAATATGAAAATTGGAATTAGAAAAACTGGAGAGTAATAATCAAAAAAATAAACGAACAATCGCCTAAAAGGATTTCTGAAGATTTTTTACTTTGTCGCTGACCTTGCAGTCCACTAGTCTATTGTTGCACTCATTCCTGTTAACGCATTTCTTTTTTCTTTTTAACTTTATTATTAAGCATGATGTTCTTCGCACTTACGCCATATACAATGCAACAAAAAAAATTACGAATATTTTAAAAGCCACATAGCAACATATGTTTTTAATTAATGATGCAGTGTTAAGTCTTGGCATACTATTTTTTTAGTCTTTTCTCAGTTCATCACATCAACGCCTAATTTTTTTAGTAAGATGCCATGCAAAACTTTTTTTTTTTTTTTGTCTTTTTATTATAGAAAATCGTGTTCTTAGGTTGCATAAACTAGACTGAAACACTGAAAGACGTTAAGTGTCTTTTCATTATGTATTGTAAATACCACACAAACAGGGAGACCTTTCTGTTAACTCAAATAAAGGTTTAACAGACGGCACCAACTCGTGCTTACAGAAGCCAGCAGTTATGGCTTAAATGAAAGATAATGGATTAACTAAAAAAAGTAAGTTAGCCTAATTGGACAATTGGAATAACGAGCAAGGTGGCCCTGAGCTAAGGTCAGCGTAACAAGCCTAATGGCGAGAATAATTCAACGTCACAGAATACTATTCGCAAGAGAATCAAATTACCAACGTGGCCTTCCAGCAGGCAAAACATGCTCTGATTCTACTCTCTAAAACCCTTCCATTAAGTAGTTTCTTCTTACTTTATTTGAATATTACACGAGCTAGCAATTTAGGTTCTAGCAGTAAAAAGGAAATGAGAGCGACAGGGAAGTAAATTAACATAAAATAGCTGGCTAAATTCCTAAACATTACCTCTACATTATTATTAACGTTTTATGTGTTAACGTTATTTATTAAATATCATGTTCTTCGCACTTACGTCATATGAAATTCAATTCAACAGCAAAATCACTAAATATTTAAAAACAGCATATCTTTAGAATTTCCGATAGAGAGTCTCGCGCTGGATATAAAAATATTTTGCTCTGTACAAGTGTTGCTCGTTTTCAAATCAATAAGCCTGTTAATCAAAAATTTATAAAAGTTTTACGAAACATGAAATACATATTTCGAAATCAAAAAATTCGGCTTTCCAGGTTCACATACTCAGATGGAGGACTGCTTTATTCAAAACTTGATAGCTCTAGGTACCGTTGTTTTTCACAGTGCGAAAAACATACATACATGTAGATTCTTCATTGTTTAAATTCTTTAAAAATAATGCAGGGAGATTACTATTTGGTGGTAACAATTTGAAAAATAATTCCCCGTTTACAGTAGACGACACTATTCCTGTTTCGAGACTAATAGCCCATTCGGACTAACGCCCTTTCGCTCTAATAACTAAATAAAATTAGAGCAATTTTACAATAAAGCAACTTTTATTCCTGTTAGATTAAAACAACTTTTATTCCTGTTCGATTATCTGTTTACTCGTATTTCATTCTACTTTTGAACAAAAAAATTATTGCAGATGCTTGTACAAAATGGTTAAGTTTATTGCGATGTATGTACTTCTAGCCGAAAACATATCCATATCTGACTACAGAATATGAGGACATCTTTGTGTGATTGTTAAGTATGACGTTACTTGCTGAGAATTCGATCCCAGCCGAAGAAGCTGTTTCTGAAAGTTGAAAGCATTCGTCAGGATAGATAGCTTCATTATCACTGCGATTCGTACTCACAACATCTTTCTACAAACTCATGATTATAAACTGGATAGGATATTCTGTTTTGAAGCTCTCATTATCTGCTCTCGCCTTTTAGATTTAATTGCATTTTGATATGCATTGCTCGAGACACGTTCATGTCTGTCATGCAATAGGCGCATCGCAGCCGGCCTCTTATGCTGGCATACCAGGAATATGCTTCTGTTAAAGCATGCAACAGTAATAGCAATTTATTATGACGCCATTCTGAAATTCCCTTGTAGAATAAACGTAAGGCAAAAAATCATTTGCGAAACATAAATTCTTTACAAAGCAAGGAAACAAGATACATAAATAGAAAAACGTGAGATAATAGTGTTGCGTTTTTCTTTTTTTCCTCTGACACCAGTTGTTACGTTATTGTCTTCCTTCACATTCATACTGGGTTCGTAGATTTGGAATGAATAACGACGACACTTGATGAAGTATCGGAACGCACTTTATTTACCAATATTAATCAGGATAGCTCCAAAACACTTTTACAGTCGTCGAAGATCTACTATACACTCGCTGGAACAATCAGCGACACAGGCTATCACGGTGAAGACAGCTTCACTGGAAAGCTCCCGACTCTGCTCGGTCGTTCTCGGAACTACACGTACTCTCGAGACTCTCCACGCTACAACTCGCGATGCACTCGACGACACCCAGAGAACAGCTCCCGACTCTTCGGTCCATTCGTTCATGGAGCTTAACACACTCTCTCGACGATGCAGTAACTGCGATACGCTAAGAGACTCTTCGATGCACTTGACGACCCACTCGGCATTCGCTGCCCGCTGTCAACTCGATCGATTCCGTATGAACTGACTAACTCGAAACTAACTCGCACTCTAGACGAAGCACACTCTCACTGACTGCGGATCAGTAGGGTTTATATAGTTTGGGGCTGGTGTTCGAGAACATTCTGGGCTAAACCGGTAAGTTCCAGAAAGTTCTCCGTCCGTCCGTGGCATATCGCCAATTTCGTCGCCAAACGCGCAATTTCTCGCCAAGTGTGGCATCCTGCCTTCCCTTGCCATTTTATGGCAACCCTAAAACTGTTTTGCGGGGAAGCCATCTTACAGCGCCTATACATTTCGTAACAATAGATACAACAATGGAATGTTCCGAAATGCTAAGTCTATGAAGTAAAATAAACCAAATGCATAAATTAAATTACAGAGAACGTCTCAAATCCTCCCTCTGCAATAGAGTGAAATAGATAGATGGTCATTACAATTTAATAAACAGTGATACATAGAACAGAATAATTGCATACAATACATAACGCCTAAAACTCCTGGTATGATAAATGAAATACAAATTTAAATCTTTAATATTGTAAAGTATGTTTACAACTACAAGTATACACGAAGTGCAATTACAATAGAGTTATTTTATTATATGCGTGTAAATTACAAATCAATTACGCTAACTACAATAAAACAATTTTTGGCTTTGAAGAACAAGATTATGATTTCCAAAGTTTTAGACCATCCTCCTTCCATCTGTCATAGCTTCTCATTACAATCATGTTCTTTGCATCAAATAAGGACTACTATTAGACTAATTTATTTTTATTATCCATTCAAATATTTCTTCGCTAATATTATCACTCTGTTTTATTTGATATGACTTTTTCTTTTTCAGCAAATAACTGGGGAGATTGTGACAACAACACTAAAGCCGTTGGTTGCGGTCCTCAGGAAATTTATCGCAACTGCGCTGATATCGCTGTATTAGCTGGGGCCGGTGTTCGAGGCAACGCAGCATTTAATCCTCGGCCACGTGGTCCAAAGGCCTTAAAAAAGCATGCCGTAAAAGAACATCACAGAAATGGTCGATTTCAGCGTCACCATCGGAGAAAGATGTAAAAAACGATTTTGGATTCATTGTGCAATATTTCGATATTTATTCATTGTAGAGTTTTTACTTGTTTCGTATATCTATGTTTATCGCTTCCTTTTATCATATTTTGATCAATTGTAATTAAAAAATTATTTATACATAAGTAAAGTGGATTTTTTGCTTTCATTTGGTTAAAACCAATTTTGTAGCCTCTCTAGCAAGAACAGATTGTTAAACTTTAAAGCAGTTAAAAGGCAAGTTTAAAACCTTTAAGTCGAAAAACTTTAGATGTATCGTTCAGTAAACGCAATTTAGAAGAAAGTAAGCCGCCTTATGTATGAATGAATCATTTTATTTCTAGAGATATCATAATGCATTTGTAGACTATTACAGTTACTTGCTCAAATAGTTCTTCAGAATTATAGTTTACTCATATTTATTTTATAGCCATTCCCGCAAGAACTATGAATAATACAAAGGCAAAAAAATATTGATTTATTTTAATAGATGTTATCTAACAATTTTCGACGTTGAACTGATTTACGTAGCAATTTGGGAGATGGGGATTTGAATCATCTGTCATTTGAATGCTAGCGCCACTAAGCAACGGCAGTACAATAAAAAAAAAAAAAAAAAAAAAAAAAAAAAAAAAGTGCAGTTTTCCGTTCGAGGAGTGTCCATTAATTTCTTTGGATGCATCTCACACATTTGTACGAGAGTCACCCGGAACACTTTCTGAATTTAAAAGCGTTTAGTAAATCCATCATAAAACCAGTGCCGTAGCAATTCTAGAAAATATTGATTGCTATAAGGAAAAAGAAGCTCATCTTTAATAATCTTTTTGTTTTAATTAAAAAATAAATGATATTTCCAAAAAACACTTTAATGAGAGAAAGCTGCAGTTAAAATTTTTCTGTGAAATGATGTGTAGTTTTTTTGTAATTATAGTGCATATATAATACGCATACTACTGGCTACATATTATACAATAGATAAAAATTCAGATAGCTATGATAAGAATTTCAAATCATTTTTATAAATTTTAAGTAAGTAAAAAACATTGTTTAATACTTTGCTTGGAATGAGTATTTTATTTTAATAAATAAATCATAAGCAAATATTTAGACCAACTGCTTGAATCCAATTACACGTTTATGGGAATATGTCAATAACTTTTCTTCATCCAGTTTATCTAACAAATCCTTTTCAGTTGACAACAGTATATATATGGAACTCAGATAGTGAATTCCAACTCTCAGATAGTGAACTTCCAGCCCTGTTTATAAGATTTTTTAACTTCCAAATTAAATTCATTTTAATCTGGCTACTTCTTCTTCCTGTCCTGTTTATAATATATATATTTAAAGCGCGTCATTTCAAAATGAATCCGCATCATGCCATCTTATGTACTATAATAATGTAAAGCGTAGTAATGGGGATATCTTTTCTCCGATCAGAATAAAGTAACTTTTCACTCTTTTCTTCTGAATGCGTATTCACTTTTCGTTTTTACCTTCGCTCTTGGTAACAGAGGTGGCTCACTCGTCTCTTTCATCCATTGCCTAGGGCGTAAATTTCAAATAATATTATTAAGAATGGGTGTATATTGCACCCATGATAATGTGTGAACCTGATTATGCTTGGTTTATCAAGAAATACAATTATGTGAAATATCTGTGACCACGTCTATCTGAAGATGTTTCCTTCGTTATGCATCATTCAAAATACGCAGTAAAACAACAACCCCAACCTATTCCAGCTATCGCCCATCATCAAGATATTACAGGTTATATCCAGAAAGTACAGACCTCACATCTTTCAAATGAATGTATGAAATGGCATTCTGGCATTACCACAATTAAAACGTTTACCACAAACATTGCATTCACCTGATTAAATTATTGCATTAACTTGATTATTAACACGGTAATCACCTCTTGCATTAACCTGATTAAATATATTCTATTATCATGATTAAATCTCTTCAATTACTATAATTAAATCTCTTCCTTAAATCTTTTTTTAATTATTTATTTTCTTCGCTTTTAAATCAATCTTCGTTTCAAAATTTTCCATATTGTTAGATATCTTACACAATTATATATCTTACACAGTCCCCGAATCTAATGCCAGGATAATGTGGTTTGTTATTAGGTTAAACATTTTATTTTGAGAATTATGTAAAAATCAGAGTTAATCTTTTCATAAGCATTTAAAATGAATGATAAGCATTTTAAACGATGCCATCTGGCATCCTTTTCTTCTCTCTCTGAATTTCAAATTTCTTAATGCTGATTCGAAATAGTCAATTTACAATGCTTGACTTTCATCCGTATTTAAATTTGAAATCTTGTTTTTTACATTTATTTACAAACTCTAATCTGCAATAATTTGATAATAATTTCAGTTATATACATAAAGGGAAAATGCTGTAAATATTGTTTTGAACATTTGAAGATTTTTAAAAGTGAGACTTGTGTGCTTCTTGTTTTATTTTTGCATTAGTCTAGCCTGAATTCTCTATCATATATAAGGATAGTGAAACTACTGACAGTGGCGTCATAGAGATATCCAAATACAGCGGTTGCTGACAATATTTTCTCGCCACTTACATTAAATCGCTTCATGTCTTTTGTGTCCAAAATATTTTCCGACAGCTTCATTCATTTAGGTATTCTCTTGTTCTTTCATAATAGTTTATAAGTTCTAGATCAAATTGAAAATAAACATTTCTTTCTTCCAGTTATCACATCATTTAAGACGGGGGCATAGCTCACATTTTTTGATTAGCCATATCAAGTAATTTTACTTTCGTATGACTGATTGCAAGTCCATCTACAATATAAAATAGAACCGCCCAACCGGGATAGTGGTTAACGACGCTGATTGCCGAGCTCGGATTCGAATCCCGGAGAAGATATGGATGTTTGTAAATGTATAGTGTCTGTGAGGCATGGAATCACTCTAATTATGTGACAAACCGAAAGTCCTCTCGAGAGGTTGGTGGTAGAGGAAGAGCTTTTAGGAGACCCTCGCCGCGTCTCTCGGGGTGCTGTCCTTCAAAATTGGGGGCGTACCTGAGCAAAGCGTCATTTGTATGGTGCTCAAGGCTTTTGAAAAGACAGGCGCAATCTTGCACTCCTTGCTACAATGAATTTCGTGGGTTTGTTCTGATATTACTGTCAGACAAGTGAGCTAAGACCCAAAAACGCAATTTTGAAGATCAGCTTTAAGGTGCTGTAATATTTCAGAAAAAAGATCAAAAGGTTCTTGTCCGACACCATCAATACTTGGCATATCTGAATGCAGCATACTAAATTATACTGCTAAATTGATTGATGAAGAAATTATTATTAATCATCAACTAATATATAATAACATTTAGCTACATACACTTCTTGACTAATTCTTTCTTATATCACATTTTAAATAATTTGGATTAATGTACTAATCGCATTTTACTAGCTACTATTCTAGTATATAATAAATCCCTTACGGTCTTTCCTTCGAAACTTTTACTTGACTCCTTCAACTCTGAGTAGGATTTCCTTGTGCTGCAGAAACATGAAATGCCCTAATGCGGTCGTTTTTGAGTTGCCAGGTTTTAGAAACTTATTGTTTACAATATGACCTGGCTCATTTCTGGGACCTCGACGAGGAAGTACTTAATAGTATAACTTCTTCACGACTTATGTAATCCTTATGACAGGACCACTCTGCCTGTTAGGTGTCTTCACGATAAAAGGGTCACCATTTCTGGCCTTAGTAGTGGCCAATGCCGCTACATGCAGGTGCCCGCCATTGGGAAAAAATCGCACAGAAAAACTGCTGAATACTTCTGCCATCTATATTTCTTGGCCTTAGACGAATCATGTTGTTGATTCGCATATAACCAAGCTTTGGCTAATACAACTACAGTCACTAAAGCCACGTACATAATGATCCTAAGTGGTGGGTGATTCAAATATCATGCTGTTTTTGTTTTAATTTAGATATTTTTCAAAAGAACATCAAGCAATTAATTATCAGTTGACTGAAATGTATATTCAACAGTAATAACTGCTTCAAATTTGCTAATCATAAATACAAGAAATTCCAGCATTTGATCTTCAGTTAAAGTTCTCTTTGTATTGTATGTGATAGTTCGATACAATAGCGGCTAAGCATAATCTTAAGACTGAGAAATCTGGCTTATCTTAATCGCGCCTTGGCAATAGTAATCATCCGTTCCTATTAAAGCTGTATCTACCTTATAGAACACGAATCAAAATTACTTTTCCAATTTACTTATAGTATTCTTAAATAAGAAGCGGTTTCGAAAAATTTTTAATTTTTGTTCTATATAACAAAATTTCTATTGCGTGTAAGTTGTTAAAAGGTCATTAATATATTGTTAGTGAAAAGAGGCCTATTTCATTAGGAATGCACTTGCCAATCGAGACAGCTGACATCCAGGCTAGTCCGCCACTGGATAAAAGCCTAATATTTAACAATAAAACTTAACACAACTCACAGTATACAAGTAGGGCCTAATATAACATGTATTTAAATTATGCTAATAAATATTTTAATTTAAAAAAATAAAATCTGAAAGGTTTTTCAGATATTAAGCAAATAGGTGAAAGACAAAATCCTTATTACGTTGATTCGTCTATCTCTACAGGCACTGCTAAAGATGTGCATTATCATGGTCCAGACACAGTTTGTCTCGATGAATTACGTTCAGTGTCACATGGTATACTCGTCTCGTTGCATGTATTTTGTTCAAGCGCGTCAAGAGGTCGCCGATTGTTCTGATAAGTCTTGCTTCGAGATAAGTCTATACTTCGAGACAATTGTGCTAAGTGTGAAACCTGAGTTCGCTGCATCCAAAGAAGCGTGTGTTATTCATCGAGTCATCCTGACATCAAACACACTAACGGTTTCGGGTGATTTGAAAGTAAATATAGATACCAATATATTTATGATAAAAGGCATAAAAATATAATACAGTCTAACTTCCCAAGACGAGAACTAATTATACAAGCCCAAGTTGTTGCTGTTGAATTGAATTTTAAGGCTTAAGTGTGAAGAACATGATATTTTATAAATAAAGGTAACCTACAAAACGTTATAAAAGTCCCTTTGGCCGTAATGTAGAATTTATAAAGCTTTCAGATTTTTTTTAA